AAATTAATATTTTAAATACAAATTTAGTTTTAAATATAAGTATACTCGAGTAGCATCTCACGTCCAGACTTAATTGAATAATAAAATTTTAAATCTATAGATTTAATTTTGTGCTTTGTTGAATATGTTTTTAGTTTTTATATTTATATGTGAAATTGAAATTTGTTTTGTATTTTAAATTGGTTTAATGTCTCAATAGGTCCCTATTTTCACCCAAAATTTCAGATAGGTCCCTTTCTTTTTCGGCATCTCAATTGAGTCTTTTTTTTTTTAAAATTGAATCAAATAGGACCTTTCTGTCAAATTGAAATGACGTCGTTAAGAAGAATATGCTTTATTTCTTGGTGAAAATAATGACGGCGTCATTTCAATTTGACTGAAAGTTCCTATTTGATTCAATTTTACAAAAATAAGGACTCAATTGAGATGCCGAAAAAGAAAGGGACCTATTTGAAATTCTGGATGAAAATAAGGACCTAGACATTAAACCTTTTAAATTTTAATCTTCAAACTTTAAACTTAAAAAATAATAAATATAATCATTCAAATATAAAAATGTAATCTTTTTTTATGTACTAAATGATGTTATAGATTAACATTTGATTAAATATATCAAATGGTGTAAATACTTTATTAACATGAAACTCTTTAATATGATAAAAAAAGTTAACATAATTAGATTAAAAAAATATTTATTTTTAAAATTTAAGATAAGAGTGCATTAAAGTTTTGAAGATAAATTTTATTTTCATATATAAATTTAACATATTTTAAATGTGAAAGGGATTTCTTTTCCATTTCAGATACTGTTGTTAGTCATAATATGTGAGTGGTTCTTCCGACAAGTTTGGTACCATTGCCCAATAATAATAAATGGAAAGATGAAAGTGATTTGGGTTTTAGAGAATCTTGTAGTTTTTATTTGGAGTTTTAGATCCAATTTTTTCTTAGAATTGAATTTTGATTTGAATTTAGGTGGAGACTTTGTATGTGGACGAATCGAGTTTAGTGATTTTGGTGGAAATTCCGCATGTAAAGTATTCAACGGGGTAGGCTGAGATTTTTGTAAGATGTGAATTTTGAGAATATTGTATTTTAAAAATGTGAATTTTGAGAATATTGTATTTTAAAAATGTAAATTTAGACTAAAGTTTGTTATTGGAATTTTGATTCTAGCTTTTTTTTATACTGAAATTTTAAGATAATATGAAATAGATAAATAAATAAAAATATGCATACATAGAGTTAAGGAAAAGAAAAATTCCAACTTTATTTGATAAATTAACCTGGTAAGTTCAAATTGGTGAGCTTGCCAATTTTATGCTGTATACCATAAATTGTGATCATGCCTTGAATCATTTTTAATCATATAACATCCTAAAATTATACTATAATACTTTTCTATACAATACTTTAATTATATTATTATTAAATAGTGTAATTTTTTATTACTTTTAATATATATAGAGAGAGATAGAGAGAGAGAGTTAATTCTCACATATTGAAGATCCATATTAAAAAAGTTTTAAAAAGATTTTTTTTTTTGGAAAATAACACTTAACGAAAGGCAACCAATGAGTATTGCTCTGAGAGAACTCATCCCACAATTGGTTTTATAATTTGTTTTCTAAGATTGAACTTGAATACAAATTTGTGGTTTAGCATTACCATCCTCATTATTCTTGTTTTCTTGACAAATTAATAGACTAGTAGTGTTGTCAAAATGGATTGCAACCCGCGAGCTAATCTGGCTCACCACGGATTTAAACTGGGTTGGGTTTGAAAAAAATATAATTTTTTTTATACGGGTTAGTTTTCAACTTGGCTCACTTAAAACCTGATTCATCCGGGTTGAATCCGTGCCAGGTTGGCTCACCATCTTATCTATTTTAATTTGATTATTTATTATTTTGTGTTTCAAATATTATTAATTAGCACTTTTTTATTATATTGTACATGGAGATTAAAATAAATGTTTCAAGAGAGAAAAATAATATAGATTTATCTATTCAAGACTTTAATATTATAAATAGACAAATGATACAAAAATTATCAATATTAAAAAATTATTTTTCGTCTTTTGTGTTTGTTTTTAGATTAAGTTTGGATTATATGATATATTTTTTTAGAAATTTATTTATATTTAAATTAAAAAATATATATATTTTTATTTTAAATAAACTTATAATTAAGTGAATGAGTGAGTCAACCCGTTTAACCCACCAACCTGTGGTGGGTTAGATCGGATTCAAATTTTTTCAACTCATTAATAAATGAAGCGAGTTAGATTGACTCACTAAGTGACAAACCCGTGGTGAGCTAAACCAGATGGAGTCAAATTACCCGTTTTGACAGTTGTATTCACTAGTTGATCTAAATGTTTGTTTATCTATCCTTTATATACTTTTAAAACAAAAAATTCATTTAATTTATTTTTAACATAATTTTTCAATATTATCATTTGTTTTCAATTACACCTTATCATGTTATATCTTCAAGTAACATTAAATTAATATTATGATTTAATTACATGTAAAGTAAAATAAACGCAACAGTTTATTTATAATTAAAAAATCATAAGTAAAATTTAAATTTTTTTAAAATAACAATGAATAATTTTTTTTAAAAGAAAATTAAAAACCAATAACTTATTTATAAAAGCAAAACATGGTTTTAACAACTAAAATTTCAGTGAAACCTTGTCTAAAACGTTCAATATTTCAGTAAAAAAAGCCAAAAACCAATTATATATATATATATATATATATATATATATATATATATATATATAATTTCATGCGTGACTTTAAAAAATAAGATAAAAAAGAAAGGGAAATTATATATAAGGACAATGTCAGACAGAAAAATATGAATAAAATGTGTTTTCATACATGTAAAAAAATTGAATTCACGCTTCCAAGCAGGATTGTAACCAAAAAATTCGAAACATATTTTCAATCACCATTTCAGCTTTTTGAATATTGACCAGTTTGAAATACGAGATTTTCTAAATACGATTTACTCACTTTTTTTTTTTTCATTTGCCCATGTATTAACGAATTTATACTATTTGGTAAAAAATAAAAAAATAAATAACGTGATGTACCCTGGCTTTGAAAAGAACATCTGTGTTACTTTGCAGGAAATTATATATTTTGAAACAGCAAAAGTAGAAAAATAACATTTCAAATTTAGGAAGAATGAAATTACACAAACAAATATATCTAACTTTTAAGAAAAATAGCAACAAATTAGCTAAACGAGAATTAAGCGCATCAGTATTTAAAGTTTTTTGTTTTGGGTGGTGGTGATCGTAGGGAGAGAAAGATTCATGGAAAAGGAGAAAGGTGCGTTAAAGGTAAGGGCTTTGATGAGAGTTCTTGATTTTGCTTTCTTGGGTCCAACTGCTGTCGTATGAAGATGGTTCTTGCTTCAGTGAAATTTGTTTAATGAACTCAGATCCAGACAAGTGGCTGTTTTATGCGTTCGTATAATTTGTTAAACAAGAACTTGAACCAAACTTGTCTAGATCTAAAAAATTATAAGTCGGAAAGAACTTTTCAGTTCTGACGAAATTTGCAACTGATGAATCTTTTAATATCGGAAAGTAGATCAAAATTAGCAGATAAAAAATTGATGAGAAAATAGAGGAGAGAAAAGAGGGATAAGATTACCAGATGGGAAAAGTTGAGAGATCTGAGATGAATAAGCAGCAGAAAGAGGAGGAAGGGGAAGAAACAGAGGAAAACAGCGGTATGGGAGGTGTAGGGAAGAAACACCATATTTTGCTTTGCTATGGTTAGAGATGGATTTAACAATAGCATAGCATAAGCTTTACTTCCCAATCCCCCCATACCCATGTCTTCCTCCAATCTTGTCTCCCTTTTCCTCTCTTTCTCTCTCAAACCTTCTTCAACAATGATGCAAGAAAGAAATATTGTGTAAGGTTACAAGAGACTTTACAGTGATAATCATAATAAGAAGAATGGTACACAGAAACAGCTTTTTTAATCATACTGATGAAGGCGCAAAAAGAAAAGAGGAATCAAAACTGTGAGCATGATGAAACTCGTGACATAGAATATGGACAAAAGTTGTCGGCAGACCATATTGAATAGAATATTTTTACGTAATGGATTGGACCCTCTCGGGCCTCCATTTCTTTTTATTATCATTTATAGTTTTTTCAACGTGGCCACTAATAAATCTTGTAATGGTTTTTCTTTTATCCTCTTAAAAAAAATTGGTCTTTTTTTCAATATAAAATTTAAATATTTTATTTCGACACTGAAATGTTATATTTAGAATATATAATTTCAATTTACTTATTTTTTGTTTTGAAACAGTTGAGTCATGGAAAATAATTTAATTAATAAAATGAGAAATAAATGTGAACAAAATTCTAGATTTTTAAATTAATTAAAAAATGTCTATTTTCAAATAAAAAGTAAAATTATGGAATGAATAAAATAAATAAATTAAAATTATATTTTAAATAAGATTTAGTGATAAGTGATATAAGTTAATCAATATAGCATTGTTATCATTTGTGTAAGCATTTAAGGTATGCGGAAAATAGTTTTTTTTAATGTAAATAGAAGCATTTTGAGCATCATTACGTTTATGTTTACCACCAAGAATTTCCCACATTTGCAACTTTATTTTTACTGTAAATAGAGGCAATATTTAGTCCTTTTATAATTTATTTTCTAAACTAATTATGAGCGTAAACAAACAAGTGTGTGTATATATATATTGTATTTAAAAGATTATTTAATCATCTCATAATAATATGCATTTGTAAAACTATTAACTGTGAAGAAGATTTAAAAAAAAAAGTTCAAAGAAATGTTTTCCAAGAATGCTCATGATGAAGATTTGTATGACTTTCTCATATTAACAGTAAATATTAATAAGATTTTCTCATATACTTCCACCTTTAAATAGAATCCATTTTTAGTCCTTCAATCCTTTTTAACTTTTTAATACAGAATACGTACATGTAACGATAAACTTTCATTTGAACATTTTCTTTTGCTGAGTTATAGTTTTAACCTTCATTAATGTTAACTAAATACACAATTGAAAATAGAAAAAAAATTATACCTAGAATATTTTATAATGGAAATATTTCATTGATTTATTCACCTCCCCTTCTTCCCAAGTTCGGATGGACCTGAGATCAGGAATGAATGTTTTAACAAACAAATGGTTAATGATAGTATCTCTTTCTCAGGTAAGAGAGTACTCTGGTGCGAAGATCAGACATAGGAGAAATTTTGCTCTACATTTTTCGTATGATAATATCTCCTTACTACATCTCACAACCGGTGAAATCGAATCACATTATAAATCTCAATATAGAAAATATTCTAGAATTTTATTTAAAAAAACTTGAGATTACAACTCGGAAACTCGTGATGTGGTTACGGAAATGAGTCTTGGTCACTGATCCTGTGACGAAATGTAAGAAACTCGTGTGAATCGGTTGTTCTTCACACTGGTGAGTTGACGCTGCACATGAACTCGTGTGATTCTTTCCAAAATTGGTTTTGATATTATACGAATTGCAGAAATAAAAGAGCATAAACATAGAAATCACGAACCTGAAGGAGACGATCTTTAGAAACGATGAAGATTAGGTCAGAGTGAAAAATGAAATTACAGATGGAGAAATTGATGAATACATACCTGGTGTGAATTGAAATGGGAGGCAAATAAAAGAGGAAGGAGAGGAACTAGGAAGTATTAGGAATGGGAGGCTCAGGCAAGAGGAAAAGAAGACAGAGAGAATAATCTGATTTCTCTTACCTAACCACCCATTACCGAACCCTTCCTCGCTCATAGCTCTCTTTCCTTTCTGCCTCATCTTTTCCAGAGGAAACCTCTTGCACTCACTCAACACACTCCCACCCTAATAATATATACCAAGCCCTTACCACCCTCGCCACGCTCACCGCGCCTTAATCAACCGTTCAACTGCCATTATTTTGAAACTGAAAGGACTGTTTTTATTTAATTTGGGATGATATTTTTTACCACTGGTAAAATTTTATTATAACTATATTCTTAATTTTAAATATCATTATATTATTAAAGTAAAACGCGTTGATGTAATGTCACGTGACTCACTGAATGGCAGAGTCTGCAAAATGCCCACTTTAGCTTGACTTCACCCAATTCGCGGTAATACGACAGAACACGCATCAATCTCGATGCCATGCTTGCCTTGCCGTGTTCACTCATCTGATACCATCTTCAACGCAACTTTTTCTTTCTTTCTTTATATATATATAGATATATATAAAATAAAAGTATCACGTTTTAGCTGTATCTGTCATGATGCTTCAATTAGGTTTTATGACTCCCTTTTACTTTATTAATTTTAACGGAAATGATATTTTCACACGTATACTGTATTTATTTAATATTATTTATTATTATTATTTTTTCTTTTAAAAATATACAAATTATTTTTTTTTAAGATTTTGTATTTTTATAATATATTAAGTAGATGTAAATATATGTTATCCTAATATTATAAATAATTTTGTCTTTGCAGCCAGTAAATTCTCTTGACAAGGTCTTCAAATTAAAAATAATAATATTGTGCATTCAACATGTAAAATGCTCTGCAATATATTACCCTATATTTAAGATGGTTAATGAATTGATACATCTTCTTATGATAATTGTTTCATATATATATATTACATATAATCAGATACCAGACCAGGAATGTGTAATATTTTATACTTGGAGATTTTTTATTTTGAAAACTATATCTTTCTGATTTGTTTTAATCAAACTCTGTCAAGTACGTAATACCACTCATCATGTCGATTAATATTTTTTCTATAAAAATTGTGTTATATTGAATTACGCATACTCCAACTCAACTTGTTAATATTGTTGTTTCGACTAATTTAGAGTGTTTACGCTTTTGTGGATAATATTAAAGTACCTTGATTTAAGCTTATGTTACTTTTATCCATAAATTAAGTATTGAATTATTTATATAATGTGTTATAAAAGATTTTTATATCGGTTAGTAAAAAAAAGTATACTAATTTTTTAATTAATATAAAAATAGAAGGTATAGAAAATATTTCTCTTTTTTATAGCTGATCTAAAATTGGTATAAAAATTCACTTTTATACGATTTTGAAACTAGTCCAAAAAATTTATTACATGAAGAATAATTTATATATGAACCAAATTTTTATATTAATTTTTTAATTAATCGATATCAAATGTATGACATTTTATATTGATTGAAACATTAAGAAAATTGCATTTTTTACCGGTTAAGGTTTTATCGATATAAAAAAGACGTTTTCCATGTCGATTAAAGCTTCAATCAATATAGAATGTATACTTTTCATACCAATTCTCGAACTTGGTTTAAAACATTTTGTTTCATTAGAGTCGAGTTAGAAAATCTATGAACAATTTGAGTTAACTTATATTAATAATACTCAAATGTTTGTTATAAAATGTTGAAATTACCAAATTTCATGAGTCAATAGTAGATATGATTTTCTGCATGTATGTCTCAATAGTAAAACAAGTATTGATCGGAACTTACTTGTCACGACAACAAAACCCAAAACACCACAAGCAATAAGATAGCTTGAGCAAATGAAGGAGCGCAACCCACCACATAACGAAAGCTTCAACGCGCAGAAGGAGCGTCACCCACCACACCACACACCTTTCCAACCCTAAGCACTAGTGACGCACTACAACACTAGTAATGACAGATGAAGGAGAGAATGCACGACAGCTTCACCCGCCTCATTGATAACGAACTACCACCGACCACAGGAACATGTCCATGACAACGAAGAACAACAACCAGAGACGAATGAGACAAGTGAGTTCAGTGAACTAGCAGTGAGAGGAAGAAATAAATGAGAAGAAGTGTAAAAAAGACAAAAATAAATATTAAACATTCTAAAATGGTTATAATAACTAATCGATATAGAAAGTGTTTTCAAATATTATATTTTTACTACCGTTCCACTTTTTATATTAGTTTTAAATTTAACTAGTATTGAAATATAACTTTTCATACTAGTTTTAAGTATAACCAATATAAAAAATATTTATATTTTATTATAATTATGTTACTACGTCATTTTCTGTATCGATTTCATGAAAATCGATATGAAAAAACTTTGCAATTTATTATATGTATATATTACATAATTTTTTATACCAATTTTGAATTCAATTATTATAAAAGAATTTCTCATGTTTACTATCTATACCATTTTTTATACCTAATGAATTTTATAATTAAGAAGCAACTGTAATAATTATCACAGACAATTTGTAGTGGAGAGGAACATGTCAACAAATTTCTTGGTGGTATCAATCGAATCCCGTTGTTTAAAGGTTTCATAATATCACATTAGTTGAAAAAAAGTGGAAAACATATGGATGATGATGTATATCGTTCATCGACTTCGTGTTATTTCAACTTTACAGCATACTTGTTCATAGAAAGCAAAACTGTCCACAATTTGAAGAAACATTTGGAAAAGTTAATATCTAAAATAATGTTACTGCTTTACGCATTTATTGTTTCAAAGTTATGTATAGAAAATATTTCAATGTTATTTTTAGACATTCAACCTTATTGAATATCCGCATCCCGCGTAACGTCTTGTATATCTGTAACTGTCTTGCATTATAATCCTCAATCCACAATCATATTATAAAAATTCAAATGTATTTTTTTTTTCCTTATATCTACATTCTTCGTATTTTCAAGTTTACAAGTCAATCTTCTGAACATTTTTTTATTTGCCTCGTATTTATTAAATCTTCCAATTTTTTTTTACTGAACTCCTTTGTCAGGTTCAGAGCATTTTCTTCAATACAAACTCTAATATTATATTAAAAATGTATATATAAATTCAAAAATTAAGAAATGAATTCAAAGACCGTTTTACTTGGCCACTCCGAATAAGCATCTTCACACCTCATTTATGATTTAAATATTAATTAACAAGAAATTATCATTTCTAACTATGCAAAAGTTTACGTTTTTTAACCTTCCGTCAATTTTAAACATGTTTTTATATTTTATAATATCGGAATCGATTAAACAAAAAATATCATTAAGGTATACTTAATCTTATTATTTGGAAAAGTAATTAATCTTATTTTTTTGAAAAGTAATCGCTTATTTTGTGAACTTTAACAATTTTTTTAAATAGTTTTTAAAATAAATATATTGTTTTGTAAACTCAGCAGAACTGGCCATACAGTTATTTCTTCAATTCTTACGATAAATTTGCAGACATCAAAAGAACTATAGCTGTTAGTGTCTGTTAATTTTTTTTATTCATTTTGTTTTAAATACAATTAAGATAAAATCAGTTCAAATATACAAATAGATTTACAAATAAGCCAAGATTCAACTAGATCCAATTAATTAGCTTCTATCTAAAAACGTACATCGCTCATGTATCATAAAGAACAGATGCATATGCTAGAAATAGCTCATATAATCTGTTAAACCTTAAACATGAAGAACAAAAAAATAAGGAAGGTAAATCTGTGATAGTAATTCTAGCAGATTAAGGAAAAAGTACGAAGATGGAGAAATCAAGGTTCTTAAAAGCACAGATCTATGGTATAAAGAGGAGATCTGAAAGGAAAAAAAGAGCTTACCATAGATATGTAAGAGAAGGTAAGAGGAGAGTGGAAAGAGAGAAAGCAGAGGAAATAATAGGAATGGGTGGAATCGGCAAAAACAGTGAGAAATATTGATTCTCTTATGCTTTACCAACCCACCCATCTCCGATCACTTCCTCAACCTCTTCTCCCTTTCCCTTTCTCTCTCTCTGCAATATGAAACGCAGGTTGTTGGGTTAGGTTAGGTTAACCACGTGTAAATATATATATTGATGTCTGTAGGGAGAAGATGATAGGAATAAGAGTTTTGGAACGTTGATGCTTAACAGAGGGAGATGGGTTTTATTATTACTCACACCAACCCCACCACACACTACGCTGTCTTTATCTTATCACCACCTACACGAATCTTTTCTCCCGTTCAACTTTGGATTATCTCTACGCCACTCATCAAAACTCAATCAAATATTTTAACCGTTTGATCATGAATGCACGGCCACATATCGTGTACTCGACTGCAGACCACCACGTGCTCCGTCAATCCATGCTTTAAGAACATAAATTAATGTAACAAAATAAAAGAACACTAAGAGTGTTTATTTTTCGTTTTAAAAGCCAATGATATCAAATTGATACTTAATTTTTTTTTATAATTAGGCATATATAATAAATAAGAGATTTCTGGACAAAGTTGGATCATTTTAAAAGAATTTATCTTACAAGAGTATATATATAAAACTGCGCACGCCGACCAGTGGTTGGCAAAATAAAATGTTTGAAGTTTTATCTCTAATGAAAAGTGAATGACATGAATTTCCTTGAATAGTTTATGGATTTTTGAAGGAACTAAGCTACCAATGTCCAGGTATGTGAGATCACTGGTAGGCCGAAGAAACGTGGTAGTATGTCCTAGCTTAATTAGACACATTTTGTTCACGGGAGAAGGCTGGAGTGAATGTGGGCATATTACTACACTTGGGCCAAGGCCTAACGAATCTTGGGCTAAAACAATTAAATGACAATCTTGGCCAAGACACGGATTACTACCAAATTTATTTTAAGACCTGATTTTTGTAACCTAAGGAAAGAGGGATTTACTTGATGAGGAAAGCGAAGTGAAATATATTATATGCTCGTACTAAAAGAAAAAAAAAAGTACAGGCAGCTAAGAAATAGACTACACTAGAAATATATTACAACCGCGATGAGAAATTGCTTTCTTTGCAAAGTATCAAATGGTATCATTGCAAGAGTACCCAAAAAAGCAAAAAAAGAAAAGAAAAGAAAAGTAGTATCATTACAAAGAATACTTTCTAATGGTTGGTTGGATCGGATCATCTGACGTATTATGAATGTAACTCTCAAAAATCAAAATGTGACGGGAGAAAAAAAAATATGAAAGGTACGACGACTACTAACCACATTCTCCCCAACAATCCTGCTCTAGATATTGGCAAACCTCCTATTTTGTATTTGTATTTTACCCTTACTTTTCCAATTCATTAGAAAAGCAATATTATTTTTTAGGTGGTAGTTGTCCATGTTTGTAATTACACAATGAAGAATATTATGTACCATTTACGTTTACTCCAGCATACGGACTCTTATCTTTCCAGCTTCATTGTTCTGGGCTTAGGCTGTGATACGACAGCTTTCTCTTGTTCAGTGAGTGCATGGCGGAAATGGCATCTATGGCCATATGGGCACACAACCCCCGCAAGGACCATCCTGCAGACCTCGGTTTTGTAGCGTGGGTGGCGGATGACTGGGCGAAGCTCCCCAATACCGTGAGCAAATTGGCAGTGGTCTCCGTATGGGCATGTACCAGTTTCCTGCCACTTATTACACAGCTCAGTTTTGAACATCCCTTGGTTATACACTACCATTTCCAGAGGCTCTTCCTCTTTCTGCCCTCCCCGCACATACACCTTCTGCTGTACCATTCCATGGCAACATATGCAAAAATTTCAACAACAATCAAGTAGCATAAATTACAATAATAATAAAAAAATAAACTCCTTCCTATTTTTTATGTTAGATTCGTTATTTTTTCATCCATAAACATTGAATATATTTAAGCTTTTATAACAATTCATACATACTGTGCTCAACCAATTAAGCTGACTTTTTAACTTATGTGTCATCCTCTAAGTTAGATGAACTATACTCTCTCTTAATTTAGATGTCATCGTCTAAACGAGCATAAGTGTATAAGAGAGGAAAGGATATAATGTGGATTCATACAAAAATTATTTAATGTTTGTTAGATATGGTTATGTATATCATATGTCCAATTATTCATTTATGTACACGGTGCACAAACTAGATATATATTTTCCACACACTGAATACTTTAATTACTAAAATGACTTCTTTATGTTTTTTGCTGACAGTAAAAATTTCCATATAATAAATAAAATATATTTGCATCAGCTCTACTCTACCAATTAAAATTGGTTATGTCATCTAACACTAATTAGAAACTGTTGTTTGTGGCTATCAAAACGTTGAACATACCAAACCACTAGCAGCTAGCAGCAGAATGACATATCTAACTTGACTATTATAAATCTTTTCAAATCAAGACATGAAAGAACAATATTTAGTGGACGTGTGTTGTATGGCTAACAGTCTTGCCAATTTCTCTATATTTCAAAATTTTTAGAGGTTGAAAAACAATTATTTGACCCCTATACAATACCAAAACTGTATGGCTCCTTATCAAAATTAATCTTACTTAACTGGGACATGAGACCCACGCAAGAAAAGGAAACAACGCGAAAAGCTAGAGCCCCACCTAACGACCCTAAAGCCCAGGTTATGCCAGCCACCACCCACCAAACAGGTTACAACTGTCACAGCAAGGCTCGGGCTACTTCTTTATGGCTTAGAGCAACTTGAGCTAATGGGTCCTGCGAACCCGATTGCTAACTAGAGTTGCACACTTGCAAAACAAGCACACGCAAATGAAAACAACAACCACAAACTACTCCATTCGTTGCAGCTACCTCCAGGTAATGACAGAGACAAGCAATGCTTTACTTCTTTTGAAAGGAAAATAATTAGCAACTAACAAGCACGTCAAGTACGGTAAATAACGATAAACGCAATAATCACATATCAAGACAAATAATAATAATAATAACTAAAACATAAAAAGCCCAAGCATATATAGATAGTTAGCACGTGTGTCCTTACAACGGCTTCAGGTGGAGTTGCGGTGGCGCGTGGGCGAGTGGCACCTTTATTGCGAGTTACATTATTATTGGTGGCAAGAGCAGCAGACTGAGCCATCTTCAAGTAGCCATTGGACCTCACAGATATGCTCTTAGGGAGCGAGAATCTCTCAACCTCCACCACGTTATTCTCCATCACGCTCGTTGGACTCTCGTCTGACGCTTCCTGCAGGTCCTTGTTATTATTATTATTCAAAATATTGTTGTGATTATGATTATTGTTGTTATTCCAATCGGCATAATTCTCTTTGCCTTCCCCAATGTGGAGGCTGCGGAAGCCATGCAAGACGTCGAACAGCGTCGGTTGAGTCTGGCCGGAGGATCCACTGCCGGCGGCGGCGTACTGACTCTCCAGCGAAGCCTGGATGACGAGGTGCAGCTGCTTCTGCAGCTCCTTGTTTGCTGCCCGGAGCTGACCGTTCTCCTGCCTCAGAGCATCCACCTCTTTGGAAGTCTCCACCAGGCGATTCAGGCACATGCTTTGACGGTTCACCATGTCCTGGTGCTTCTGAATCACGCACGAGTCATACTGAGTTGTTGAGTCCGAGTATGGGTACAGCGAAACGCCGCCTCCGTTGCTGCAGTTCGCGGAGAGCGAAGGAAGGTTATCGTTCGACAGAGCTGAGTACAGCGAACCGTAGCCTCCGTTTGACGGCAATTGACCAGAGACGGCAGCGGGGCCGAATCCGCCATTGGAGGAGGGAGAGCAAGCGTCCTTATTAAGCATTTTTCTTGATTCTGCAAAATCAGACAAAGATAGTTATAAATGAAAAGAATTGCGGAATCGCAACGCGATGAACGATCATTAACTGAAATGTTTCATCGGCCATCACTTAATTCATATTTATACTCAGATAATAATAATTTGATAACCGATTTGTTAAAGAATCACAGTGCGCGATCGAAGAAAACGTCGAACTAAGTTGTATTCAAGAAATGTCGATGAAATGATCGATAAGTCGACCATGCAAATTACTTAATGTATAATGAAGTTAATACATAGAGGAATTAAAATTGAATTAAAGAAGATACTGTTCATTGAATAAACAGAGAATTTCTTGAAAATCACTGACCTCGCTGTTTGCTTGAGCTTCTGTCGAGGACTGAGGAGATTTTAGAAAGAGAAAGCGATTTGAGAGAGAGAGAGAGAAGTGGAAGAAGAGATTATATAGTAGTAATGGTTGAGGCGAGTGTGTTTGGTGCCATGGAAAGAAAGAAAGAAACCGTCTCTGACACACTTCCTAACAGAACGCTCTTTCGGAGCTTATTCAACTTTTTTCTTTTCCCTAATTACCCCTACTCAATTCGTTAGATCTGCTGCATCCTTTTAGGATTTTTTTGGTATTTTAAATTGGTGTGTTTCTTAAAACTAAATTTCGTGCTTAAGCATTGGCCATTGATATACTTTCTCTTTTGCTCTTATGTAATAGTAATGGCGTGATTTTTTAGTCTTATTGGTAAATTCATTTTTAATTATAAACAATTTAAAAATTAAAATTCAGAGGAGTTATATAAAAAAAAAATTCTAAAGAAGGTTCATTTTAATTTTAATTTTTTTTTCTTACAAAATAGTTATGGAGAAATGCAGTTTCTCGCTGCCGTAACTAATTTTTGCAACCTGGTTAATTTCATCTAATCTCAATTCAGCAATATTTTGTAAAGGATGGTCATAATTTGACATCGATTATATTTTATACTACCATTAATAACTATAAATATTATTATTTTATTTAAATTTTTTGTTTTATATTAGTTAAATATGATATTTTTATTATTAACAGAGATTTTAGAGATTTTGAAGTAGAAATAAGAGAAAAGAAAGGGGTATCAAGGTAATATTTTCCTTTTATAAACTACAATTTTACTCTCAATTATTGCTATATATTAACTAATATCTGCATTTAATGTCAAATCCATATATGCGCTCACATCAATAATTATTACTTAATGCAGAAACTATTGTGCGGAGGTTACTAAACCATTGTATATGTCAAATAGCGTAATAAACATTCTCATTAAAAGTTATACACTGTTAATATGAAATTTTATATTTTAATAAAAAATGTTTTAATTTTTTGTATTATCAACAATAACAGCTAACAAATTCAAAATAATATTAATGATCACCATAGAAATTATTCATATATTTAAAAAACCCTTTGGAGAAGAAAATAAAAAATTACATCCATATAAAGTTGGGAAAATAAAACGTTATAGGTTTTATTTGTGGTAAAAAGTGAATGACATAAAATTGGTAGATGGGGGTCCACGTTGTATGATTTATTGTTGGTTTTGAAGATAGACATAAATAGAAAAAATAAACTTTGGTTCTAACAGAAAGATAATATAAGAGGCGAAGACAGTTTAGAGGGCGTATTCAAGGTGCAGTTGCGGTTAGGGCAGCATTTGATTATATAATGCTTGAATTTGAAGTTAGTTTGAAGGAGGGTACTGGCTGGTGGTCTAGGCTTTGGTTTCCCATTTTCAAGTCATGAAGTGGATTAAGACAGGTTGACATTCATTTAGAAAAGAAAAGAAAAGAAATCATGGTCTTTCTATTTGGTTAGAGGGATTGCTTCTTTATCACATTTACAACAACCTCTTCCTCTAATCGCTACTCCATCAAAATCTGGTATCAAAATGTTTGTTGAATAAAATAACACTTATTCAAAATCCTCACGTTGATTTCTTTCTCAATGGCCAATACATAAACTCTTTCCCACGTGTCATGGTTGTTAAGTTAGCCACACAATTCTTCTCAGATATTGTTTTTTCATAAAACAAACAATGTTCAGATTATCTTTCCCTTTCATTACAGCTTTCGTCACACTGCTAAAAGCTGAATTAGTTGTTCTTAAGTTTTATCAAGGTCCAAAGACCAAATCATAAATGTCCCTTTCTCTACTACTCTCAATGCATAGAGCTGCCACTGAAAATGGCTGCTTCTAGTTGTACAGCATAATCCTTAACTTTGATTGAATTGAAACATAACTGTTGAGTATAGGTACATTATTCTGTAATAGGGCTTAAGAGTTCAAACGTCAAGAAAAAAATGCAATGGGGTTGACTAAACTTAGCTATCAAGAGAAACCAAAACAAGTCCCTAGATCTGCAGGTACAGCAACAAACATATCATTTATCAAGAACCAAAAAGACCTTGCAAACCGGCAGTATTGTGCATGTAGATTACACACTCTCGAAACAGGTCCCCAGGCTCTTTTATTTTATCAATATAATCAAGAGAAATAATAACAATAAACTTGGTCAGACACTCTTTTATACAGTTTTCTTTTTTTCATTAGATGAAATTTATTGATAATCACATATTTAGACATGTCTAACACGAAATTTAGTAAATCTGTCTTAGTTTTATATTTTTCGATAAGTTTTAACTAATAAAGGACTGTATATTGCAAAGAATGAATTCTTAGTAGTTGTTTGTATTATTACTTGTAGATTTGCAATACCTGTTTGTAGAGTTTTTTTCCGCTGTATATAATGTCCATGGTATTGAGTTGTCAAGATTATTAGACTTCTAAGAGGAAGAAAACTCAAATTTGAGAAGAATTTGTTCGTATTTACATACACAGATTAACTATATATTTCTGAATAAGCAGTACATATTATGATGCTATACTTTTACAATATATTATCAACAGAAAAAATGTGAGTGAATCAATTTATCAAGTGAACAAATGCTTCATGATTAGGAACAATCTGGAAGAGAGAGAGATATCTACAGCATGAATATGCAAAAGTCAAATGATTTCTGTCATAGGAATGCCTTTCACTCTCTTTCTTACATTAGCTCCAGGTTTCCTGGATAGAAGTCGAAATTGCTTCTCATGCCTGGAAGCAGAAAGAATATAAATATAATAAAAATTGATAAAATACAAATATCAACTTAATATTTCCAGGGATAAAATGCATTATTGCTGGTAATAGATCAATGTGGTACCAAAAACAAACTCGAATGTTAAAATTGACAATACTGAGATAAAGAACTAACAGGTATTCGATAACTGAATGGCATGCTAAAATGACTCAACTAAACATAGGCTAAAGTGGGACACTTAGCACTCAGAACTCACAATTGAGACCTTTTCTCTTTATATGACATTTCCTTTAGGCTCCACATGTGCAATCTTCAATTCAATTTAACTACCTGAATAAGCCTTCCCTTCACTGTAGGGAGAAAGGATACCGTCCTCATGTGTGAAACTGCTTTCCAGACTGATTCCCAAAACAGATAAGGGTATAGCTGAATCAAATGGTTGAGTTGCATGAGTAGGATCCATGCTTTCTGGACAGTACTGGCCGAGAGGGTTCATATCCTTGTTCTCATGATCAGATTGGGAGAGATTAATGGATGCAGAAGCCGAAGAATCCTTTCATGACAGAAAAAAAAAATAGTACAATTAATAGGTATATTATTTTGGAGACCGGGTATCTCGTTGATGTTACCTTGACTTCGTATACCTTAGCTTGATCCACTATTCATGAATACATTATCAGGTGATTTTGATGAAGATAAACTGGAATTAACCTTAAACTACAAAATGACTTTTTTATTCTAAAGCTTACTATAAAAACATGGGGGCTTCAAAACATGTGCACCATATATAACATAATTATGGACCTAACTCATTGCATCACATGGGTGGATACAGCAGTCCTCCAATTCTTCTTCTATGGCTTTTCTTTGAACTGTTATGGTTATAAATAGCTTCAGAAATACAATGGTTGCGGAAACTTATATTAACAGTTTTACTGTATCTATGGTACCGTTGCAACTGTATTTGTGTTTGAATGCTTTCCAAAAAAAAAAAAATGTGTGGTATAACCAAAACCATGAATCAGAAAAAAATTAAACTTTGAAAGTTTCACATTTTCCGCTTTTGATGCAAGAAGTGATAAGCCACTGAAAGAAAACAGCTGAAGTGCACTGTTCTGCATAAAATTATTACTCTGCATTAATATTGCCCTTTGTCCTTTAAAATTAGCCTTAAAAAAATAAATGACTGTTCACATTCTGCTCATGTTGATAAATATTATGATGCTCTTCTCTAATCGTTATAGTCTGATGTAGCCCTACGACTATCAACACACTAAGAAGGAATGAAAATATGTTGACTTATAAAGAAGAAATTCAGACCTCCATTGCACTTAGATTGTCAATATCTGACTTGTCGATTGACTTATCCTTCTCTAAAGAAGAGCAGGAGACATCTTGATCATCAAACAATATTCTAATTGGATCCTGATCTCCTCCAAATAATTCATCGAAGTTTTGGAAAGTTAAGTCAACATCAGGGATGTTAAAATCATCTAGACGAACAAGTTCTTCACATATACCGAGGTCTTGAATATTTTGGGACCACAGCTGCAACATTGACAAAAAGAAATTTCCATTTTGACAAGTATAAAGTTGACCAAATGTTTGATACTGAACAATCAATATAATGTCAACCAAATTTAAATGAATCAAATGCGAGAGCAGTCACAAACACACAGCAAAACAAGTGTCTGCCTATGCTACTATATGTCTGACATTCAACTCCTTTTTCTTGTCACTGACAGATTGGGAGGAAGGTCTAAGATTAAAAAGCCAGCATGCTATGTTTGAAACAAAATTTCCAAACTTTCTATGATACCGATTTAAGTTTAGAAACCCTATCAAGAGCATGTTTAATTTGGCATTTTTCCAACCAAACTCCTGTTCAAGACATTCAAAAGCTGGCTGAAATTTGTTTGTATGATTTTCTATTTTTTTCAGCTTGAACCCAATTTTTCTTTAAACTAGGATAGGCCTGGAAGACACAAGTTAAAGCCTTTGCATAGGAGGACCTTCACTGTTAGGAAAATCTTGGAATGATATTAATCTTATATTATGAAACCAATACCGGTTTCAGTAATTATATATGAAAATCACTTCTTTTCTTAGCATAATATATCCTGTTTTATTTCTAGCATAATATGCTTTTCTTATGTACGGTTTTTGTTGGTCCGGTTTGTCCTTTCAGCTTTTCATCAATGTGTAATTCTGTTTGTCCTTGCTGGCTACACAGACATCATCATAAAGCTTTTTATTAATATCTTGTAATAAAGGAAAAGGAGAAATGTATTACAATTATAACTGGTGGAAGCTTATTGCAGTATGGGGAAATTGTATTAGATTAAATTATGATTTGTAATGTAGCAGAAAATGTGAATTGCGGTTTATAATCAGGATTGAGGGAATATCCGTAATATCAGAAGTTAGGATTTAGTTGAATGAGAATTGGGATATCTTATCCCTAGCTAGATTGTGGTTTTCTTTCCCAGTGTAGACAAGATATACTTGAGTTTTAAGCTCGCGTTGCTTGTCTGGTGAGATTTAGTGCCCTTTTGAGTTACCTATACAAGGCATAATATCTGCCTCCTTGATGATAGCTTATCTTTAATAATTTAACATCAAATATGGAATTTTTCGATTGTTTTTATTTTTATTGCTCGGTTCTATGTTCCCAATTATTCATCATATACTAAATATATTATCCAATGATGTACAAAACCTAGTGTTCTCTTTCAAACTGCAAGCGAAAAAAGTTGTGATTTGTCTGAAACATTTTTTGCATATTTGTGTGTACTTGTTCATATTTTCATGTAACCAAAGGGATGCATCTCACCAAAGCAAGGTGCAAAATAGGAGAAGTTAACACTTCATATTTTCATATCAAGAACAGTGGTTAAAACCAGTGGTCTTCAAACAGATAATTCTCTGACCTGATTACTTCGAAGTGGACTTCTGCACGTCCAGAACAATTCTCCATGCAAGGGAAGATCGATAATTGAAGATGAAGATAAATTATCAAGTTGAGAAAAAGTTGAAGGCAAAGTTTCTGTACTCGGCTCCACAATAGGACAGTCTTTTTCCAGAACATCAGTAGCCAAATCCTGGGAATTTTTTGCTTGACCATTGAATTTTTCGTCCAATTTCTTAAGAGTGTGATATAATGAAGGTGATGATTTTTTTTCTTTTAGCCTACTGATCTTCGCAGAATAATCAATCTCCTCATTTTGTTGGAGCCATTTTAGATCAATAATCTGCTGCACAATAGTTTGACGCTCTTGATGATTGTGCAATATCTGCAAAACAATATCAAAAATTGAGATACATCACATTTTAACTTGTATCAAAAGCGGAAAAGATATGGGTTGCATTTATACATATGATAGAAGCTGTTCCTTTTGCTAATTAATTAGACATGTACATCCAAATTATGTTATTTGTTATCTTGATTTGTTGAATTGGGACTAGAAAAAAAATTACAATTTAAGTAAATACTTAAGGTAGATTTTAAATTACACCTTCCAGTAATGTTGGCTCTGAACAAGTGGTTGTCATAGAAAGAGAAAGGAAGGAAGATTAGCAACTACAAGAGATTTACAAAGTGAGGAACACCAATTTGGCCAAAAACATGTTGCAAATTCCTAAATTTGAGAATGCACAAACCATTCCTTGTATTTGCTCAAGATTTAATAAACCGGTAGTTTCTATCATTTATCCAATACAAGAGGATCCATCAAATCAATTTCCAAAATAAAAATTATTAATTATTTTAACTCTCTGAATTGTTAAAAGAAATTTTAATCCTGGCTTGTTTTAGTTTCAATGTAAGTCATTTTGGTTTCTGATTGTAAGTGTGTATCAGTCAATTCAGCCTCTCACTTTATTGGTAATAAGTGGTTTCATATGCAGTTTTTGGATTTGAAGATGGATTTTTTAAAGAATGAATTTAAAGGAAAAATATGGTAAAAGTGGGGTTATTTGGATCAAACGAAAGATGAACAAATCTCCTAAATTTGTTATTTATATATATATTTTAATGAATAAAAATAAAAGATTATCATTTTATCCTTAGATATAAAAGTAATTTAAAATAAATAATTAGTGTTAATTATATTAAAATGAATGTGAGTTATTATTGTTATTATTATTAAATTTAAGTTCTTAATAAAAACTAAATCAAAAGTGGACCCATTTCTCAGAAAATAAAAAACTGTCAATTCTCTAATCGATTCTCATTATAGAGAATCTGTTCTCACCACCAACACCTCACACCGAGAACAACTCCAACACCACAAACCACCAACGACACCTTATAAAACCCCAGGACACTACACAGCAGTTCCATGCATCAACCTTAATTCAAAAATACACAAAGGACACTTCAGTAAAACCACCATGAATCTCTTCAAATCTCTTCACCTATGCAAGAATTCATTCTCTCCCTAACCTGCAATCCACTCCCTCTAATCACTCGCCAATCTCCAAAGCACGATACTCCATCCTTCGCATCACGTAACCGTAGATCTAACCAAAGCAAACACACCATAAAAATTTCAAGAACCAATTGTATGGATAGTTTGTTAAATTAAATAGCTTACTTGACAGTGGTTGTTAAATTCAGGGATTAAATATTGATTTTACAATCTAAAGATCAAATTAATCTGTGGGCAACCAATTTGAGAGACAATTAACTGACATTTTTTTTTATAAAACCATACTAGATTAGCATTTTTATAACTTTCGGAACTAAAGTATCAAGTAGTCTATTATTGCATCCATTTAAAGTAAATTGAAAGCAATAACAGTGTACATCCTGTTCTACTCTTAACTCGTTATAATGACTCCTCTAATTTCTCTCAAAGTAATGGAAAACAAACTCGTAACTTTAATATACATTGTATGTACGGTGCTTTTTAAAGTCAATCACTTCAGAAGTACCAGATGGTTGCAATAAAGCCATCTTATATTTATTATAATGGAAAACTAACTTCGGTGACATAAAACTAAATTTTATATCATGAGGGCTTTAGCTATTAAAGTAATGCTCAAATGAGTAAAATCTGAAACTTTCATCAGTACAATAAATGAGATATTAAAACTCTATCTTGCATACCTGACCTTGTTGACCGGTCGATTCCTCATCAAGTTTGGCCCCAGCTAGCAGTGAAGGGACCTCATTTTGAATATCAGGCTTTCCTGAGACTTGTGCTACATTCAATTCCGCAGAAACACAGGAAACTGAATCAAACTGATCCTGACTGGCACAGTTTTCAATCTCATTCAATTCAAACCCCCAGAGTGCTGCAAAGTCTTTAGCAGAAGGGCAACCTATGAAACTCCTGATAGCTCGTTTCTGGTGTGATAAAGAAACATTGTGCAATTTTTTATCACAGTCTCGACAGATTAACATTTTGTGGTTCAAACATACAACATAAGCAACATGATGTCCACATGAGTTACACACAAGGTTCCGGAGGTGCCGGCCGGACAAAGCATTTGCCAAATGCACCTTCGCATCACAGGATAGACAAAGATATGCCGAATCAGCTTTACAGTAAACAAGTGGCCTCAGGGCCGTGCAGAACTCACAAACCTTGTCCATTTCCTTAATCTTCAATTCCAATAATGAAAAAGGTTCTGAGATTACAAAACCTCATACTGCATAGACAGCAATTTAAATAAAGAATCCAGATATCAGCTCAGGTGGTCCATGTTGGTTGCAGAGTCCTTTTATGCAAAAGGCAATATCTCGCCTTACATCAGTTGTTGCCCTGTGAAGGTTTACAAGCTGTAAAAAAAAAATCGCACAGGGTCAATAGAATTTAAAGCTTAAGAAGAAAAAAAGGAAATTGCAGAATAGCTTCACATGAAATGCAGTTATACTGTGAAACCATGAGAAGACTATTAAGAATGATAAAACAGTCCTTTGACAAGATACAAATGGAAAATAGTTTATCTTCAATAAACCAGAAAATATAAAAAAAAAAATTGTCAGCTATTCAGAAATCATGATGATACAAATAATCCGAAATCATAATAAATATAACATTTAAAGTGATTACTATAAAAAAACAAAATGACAAATGCACTGTATGTAACAATTCATAACAGAATAAAGGTGAACACTGACAGTGGATATACTATTTACTCAATATACTATTATGGAAAGAAAAAAGCGATTCAATGTCCATGTCTTACCTGTTGGTCCAAATAGATTAGAAATCCAAAAGAATTATTTCAAAAATCCAGAATTTACCCACACGACTAATAAAACTCAAGAACTTGTAATGGTATGATAGTTGAATCATAAAAACACCCAGATCAGAGGACACTGAGTAATCATAGTTCACCACTTCTGTCCTCCCAAAGAGTAGCAAAAACTATAGCAGAAATGAATGAAGATGAGAAAAACCACCACAAACAAACAAAAACAAGGCGAATTAAATTAAATATAATTTTCGTGATGAAAAGCAGGGAGAAAAAGCAAAGAAAGTAAAAAGGCAGGGAAAAGAGTGTTTAGAAACCAGTGAGTGGAAGCAACATGAACAAGAATCCGAGAGAAGCATGGAGGTTGACTTTTTGATTTGAAAGGGGAAAGTGAAAAGGAAGTAAGAGATTCTACTACATCTGTTTCCCAATAAAATCAAATAGAAGAACAAAAGAAAGCAGCGAAAGTGCTATCTCGCGTGCAGTGAAGAAGAAGAAAGGAAGGAAGGCATGAGTCACGTTTCTTGCAGGCTTTAACCCAATTGGGGAGGTGACGTGTACAATGGAGAGATGGAACTTTCCAGCATGGAAGAGCGATGTGGTGAAGTGGGGTCCACCAGGACGTTATCCAATGTATAGTGCATGTGAATGTGGTGGTTACGTAATCCCAATGGTTAGCCGCGTTGGGCCAATCCGAACTCGCGTAATGGGATGAGCCGGACCGGATCAGCCACCCCGGGCCCACACCCCTCGTGTCTCACGTTGGGTCACGAGCTTTTCACTCCATTTACATTACAACAAACAAGTACTCTGTAACTCTTTTCAATCTATTTAATCATACTTTTTTTTATATTACATCATTTTTTTTAAGTTAAATTATATTATTCTTTGTAATGATTATTACAAGTGGATGAAGCTATTTATTAGACACAAATGAGAAGATAATGTAGAAAGATAAATAAAAAATAGCATTGAATTGCGTTGTAGGTGATTGACAGTGCATACAATAAATGTTGTTTGGATTGACGTGAAAAGTGTAGGAGGTGTTATATCAGTGTAATATGATTTCAGATAGGAAAATGATACTTGAACAACCATTTTTGACAACATTTAGACACGCGCACACGTGTCAAAATCTGAGTGGTCCAGTTGGAAAAATTAAATGAAAATGGACCACTCAGATTTTGACACGTGTGCGCGTGTCTAAATGTTGTCAAAAATGGTTGTTCAAGTGTCATTTTCCTTTCAGATAACACTGTTAATAATAAAAGCCTCCATCCACTTTTTACTCTGTAACACAAAAAAAAGAAAAGGAAAAGGTTAATTACCGTGAGATATATATATTGTTAATCAAATACTAAGGTTTAAATAATCTTTTTAGCTTTTGTCTTCGTTTTGCATTTGGTTTTGGTAAAAAAGAAATTGTTTGATGTTGGCTTCTTTCTTTGGATGACTTTTTTTTAGTTATGAGGAGAAAATTACAGCAATTAAACTAAAAGATCCTTTGAAAAATTTTAATGTAATATTTTTTATTTTTCATTATATAAAGTAGTCAATTTTTTTATATTTTTTATTTTGAATATTTGTTTGAAATAAAAAATAAAAATACACCGTGAAAACAAAATTAAAAATGAGATAAACAAAAGAAATAAAAAAATTGTGACAGTTTTACATATTTATTGTTTATTTCTCATTATAAGATCAAGTTTGTTTTTTATTTAGTCTTATTTTCTTTGATTTTTATAATATATATTCTTTTAAAATTTTAAATTTTTCGTTTGGTTTGTTCGAATGTGATGGGGTAGTCGGTATGGAAACAAAAAGGAGATGAGTGATTGTCTGAAGAGAAAAAGAAAAACACGATGGTTTTTGTTGTTTTTATAATAAATGCTTTTTTTTTTTATATAGATGGACTATAAAAGGAGTTGATTTTTTGTTATAATAATTATAAATAATTCAAAAATATTATTAAAAATAATAAATGAATATATTAATATATATAAAATTATTTTTATTTCATTTATTTCTTTCGAATTAAAGCATTTTTCCTCCATTTGTTTGTTATCTATTTATGTCCTCTTTCTTCTTTATTTTATCATCTCTAACAAGAACATTAGTTACTTCCTTGGAATGGACTGACAAAATCTAATCAGATCAGACAGCAAAATCATAAATTACTAACCCAAATCATAATTGAAATTTATTTGATTACTTTCAAACATTATATATAAATGTGTACTAAAAATCAAACAACCGTGTGGTATTTTTCCTAAAACTTTAATTGTTTATTATATTAAATTGTATAATGGAATTAACGTGATACTTTTATCACTAGTAAAATATTTTTTAATTCTGAAAAAAAAATTATGGTAATTAGAATAATTTAGAGAGAGTATAAGGTGTGGAAAAAACAATAAAGAAAAAGGGGAAATTTTGAAACTTTGGAGATGCAAAAGCAAGTTGGGTGAGGAAGACAACATTTTACATGTGCGTGACTGACAATAGTGGACTCTGGACCCAAATTGGATTTTGTGGCATTGTTGGGCCTACAAATTTAGGTTTAGATAACCAATTTTTTCGGGAACATAAATATATCCTTGAATATTTTAAAAGAATAAGTTTTTTTATAATCGATATTATATATAAGTCTATTTTGTAAAAAGAAATATACAATTTCTCTAAATTTTATATAAAATAATTTTAATTTATAAAAAAAATTATTTATTTTTCTCTTTTTTAAATTATTTAGGATAAGATTCTACGTTTTTCCAATTATATATTTACTTCTCTCTTTACCAACTAACACACCTTTCGGGATCAGAACATTTTCAATGATGATTACGAGGTTTTAATCTATGTTTTATGAGTCCCTCTATATCGTCTCATTTTTTAGATCCGTGTATATTTTTTCTTTAAATACAATAGTAGTATAAATTTCATTTAAATTTTATATTATTTGCACTTTACCTTAAAATAAATTAATTTTTAGTATTAATTATTGTGAATGATTCTTTTCTACTTATTGATCTAGAATATTTCTTAAGAAAAATTGTTTTTAATGAAAAAAAATATTTTTATTATTTTAGAATATTTCTTTCAGAAAAAAGGTTTTTTTTTTAAAAAGAAAATTTATTTTTATGACCCAATATCATATTTAAGATTCTCATATCTAAATTTAGTCTCATGTCAATTTATCTTTTAAAATTTAGATCTTAAATTTATTAAGTAGGTATGACTCATTAAAAATTGTCTTATTTGCCTCCTCCACATGGCTCAATATCACCCTCCCCGTTTGACATGGCCCTTTAATCAATTCCTTCAAACATGTCTTTGCTCTTAGAAGAAAACATTGAGAGGGAGTAAATGAATAAAGAAATGGATTTCTTTGTTTACTTACACTGAATACAGAGAGATGTTTCAAAAGTGTTAGATATGAAAAAAAAGGAAGGTATTTCCGTAAATTTACGAGTGTTTCTCCTTACATTTCACCTGTCTTGCAACTCCCAATTGACAGTTATGTCCTTCGTTTAATAAAATCTAAAATATTGTAATAATGATCTAATGATTTTTCAACCACCAACAACTTTAATACTATACTTATAATTTCTGCATGCACATCATCTCATTTCTTCATTGTTATGTTAACCTTGTGCTTGTGCATGCACCCCAACCTTATTTCTCCATTGTTTTATTTATTCCTTTCTTGTTTCATTGAGTTATATTTGTGAGAGGTTATATGCTGTTTTTTAAATTTAGTTTTATCTTGTTTTAGTTGAATGCTGTTTTAGTTTTATGCTTTTATTTAGGTGTTTTAGTTTTATGTTGTTTTTCATTTTCTTATATATATTATTATAATAAATATGTTTAAAATAATCAATTAAATATATAATAATTAGTTAATAAATAATACTTAAATAACTACAAATTATAACAACAATATTAAAAATTAAAAAATAAATTAAGAAACAAAATAATAAATCAAAAATTAAAAATTTACGCATAATAATTATTATTTAAATAAATAAATAATTTCAAAAACATTAACAAACAAATATAAATTTCAAATTAATTATATTATAAATAATATTTAAATAAATATCAAATATAATAAAAATTAAAAATTAAAAATAAAAAAAAGTTAACAAATCAATAAAAAAAGTTTTAAAAAACAACATAAACACAATAAATTAAATTTAAATTAATAAACGAATCAAAATCTAAAAAAAGTATACAACAAATAATTAAATAATAATTCATATTGAAAAATAAAATATCAATAAATAATTATAGACTAAAAAATTAACAAACAAATTTAAATTTTAAAATTAAGAAAAATTAATTACATTAAAAATAAAATTTAAATAAATATCAAATATAAAGTAAAATACAAAATTACAAAATATAAACTACAAATTTAATATTTAAATAAACTAATAAAAAATATAAAAAACAAATCAAGTTTAAAAAACAATTAAATGTAATAAAGCAAATAAAAAGAATGAAAAGCAATGCTTGAACGCATTTCAAGTTGTGGCAACAATAAAACCGCACTTCCAAGTGCGGTAGCCGCATTTCTAATTGCAGCGCGATATGAACCGCACAACTGTGGTTAGACTGTACGACGAGCTCTCAACCACACTTCCAACTGTGGAGAGTTCTGCAACCTCTCTTCTAACACTAGCGTGTTCTCAACCAGTGGGTTAAGGCCTCAACTTTCGTCTCATCCATCCCAGAAATGCATCCCAGCACATACAATCCCAGCATACAAATAGCACATACAAATACTACATACAAACAATTCATACAAACAACACATACAAGCACGACAACAAGTAAAGTGACAGAGGATGGGAGGAGCACTGCGATAAGAGAGAAGAAAGGGGTGTAGGATTTCAGATGGGTACAGCTGGAATAATAGAAAAATAGACAGGTTCAGGGTGAGACTGGTGAGGTGTAGGAAGAAACACTTTAAATTTATTAGTAACAAAATAAGGAAATATGTTTAATAATCACGGAAATGTAATACTAAAGAATAGTTGTCTAAATAAAATTATGTAGATGACAAATTTCAAATGGACCATAAAAAAACTGCTTAGTCATTACAAAATAGAAAATATATTATTATTATTCCTATTATTATTTATTGAGAAAATTTAAAGTACTTCTTTTTTTATATTGTTTCAATTAAGTATTCAGTAATTTTTTATTAAGTGGGTGACATAATTGTTCATTCCTGTTGTTATTTTATTTAATTGTCTTGTATTAAGAAAATGACAAATGATGTAATTAATATAAAATTATATTATAATTAGTATAAAATAGTAAGTGATTTCGATTATTTTTATTTAACATAAGTAAAATTTTATGGTTGCTAAATTATTTGGGTGTTACTCCCTCCACCACCACATTTTTTCCCTCCACCTCCTCAATTCTATTACATATTTTTTGAATTACAAAACTAACCTTTTATAATTACAAAAATAACCTTTTTACTTTTTAATCCTAATTATTTACTTTAACCCTAAAATCTATCTTTCTACCCCTTCTCACCCACCTCCCAACCTTCTCAGATTCTCTCCCAAACTCCATCACATCCGTTTCTCATCTTCCATTTTTTCTTCATAGGCCTGATATGCCTCCTCCTCAAAAATACATTATTAAAATACATCAAAATATATTCAAAAATAATATATCAAAAAATATAAATTATATTATTTAAATATCTTCAAAATTAATATAAAAAAAACTGTAAAATATAAACCGTATAATCTTTAAACGGATGTTGACATCCGTTGACGGATGCTCACATCCGTTGACGGATGCTCACATCCGTTGACGGATGCTCACATCCGTTGACGGATGCTCACATCCGTTGACGGATGCTCACATCCGTTGACGGATGCTCACATCCGTTTAAAGATTATACGGTTTATATTTTAGGGTTTTATTACGCACCTTCACGCCTCTGAACCTCTCACGCCTCTAAACCAGCACCTTGAAGCACCACCACACTCACGGCTGAAGATGAATTGTTTTCCCTACTTTCAATCTTACTAAACACAAAGTCCACCACACTCTCACGTCACAATTCTATAAAAGAGAAGAAGTGAAACATGAGAGACAACCCAAGGATAGTGGAACGTAAGAGGCAACCTGGAAAAAATAATAAAGAGAAAGAGGAAAAAATGATAAAGAGAATGAATGTCCACATGAGATTTTAAATAATGTTAACCCTAAAATTTTAGTAAGGGTAAAATAGAAATGAAAAAATAAAGAAAAGAGTAATAGGGGAATGAGGTGGTAGAGGGAGTAACACCCAAATTATTTTAATAAGTACTCAAGTATTAGAAAACTTAAATTCCATATAGTCGTTTGAGAAATATAAATTTTATAGTAATTAATATAACAAAACAATCTGCTAAAGTAAATCATTATTATTATTAATTAAAGTATGCTTAATTGAATTTCAAATTATTCATAAATTTTTATATTTTTCACTTAAATGTTCTCTTGCTTAGTTAACATGTCTGGGAAATTTTGTGATCAATATAAATCATGTTGCGGTAAATAAACAAGTTTTCCAGATAAAATAATTGACACATCCAATCAATAAAATAAATTAAAAGGATAACATATTTAAATATGAAATAAAGTAACAAAACTCGATAAAAACTTAGTAATATCCAAAATTTCGAAACCGTGAATTTAAATTCCTATATAAACTAAAATTTGTCACTCCAGGTGTGAAGTGGATTTGTTAATTACACGTAGCCGTTGGTGACGCCCAAATATAACTTACAACTTAAGAAACAGTTCATAAAAAGGAACCAATACCAGTTTCTTGTAGGACTATTTCTTGTAAAAGTATTAAAAGGACTACAAAAACAGTTATGTTTTTAAAAGGACTAATTTATACAAATCTTTACAAGGAATAAAAAAAATGATCTAATATCGAGGAACTAAAACTCATTTAAGCCTTTAATAGATGAAAGTTACCTTTTTCATCTCTATCATAATTCTATTTCTCTCCCATTTAAGCATAAAATGCATTGTTCTAAACCATTTTTCATTTTTTAAGTTGCATGAATATTTTTGCGTAAAATTTTAGCATTTTAACAGTCTTCAAGAGACATGCTTGACTAATAATAACTTGAGAGAATAATAAATTGAAAAAAATAAAATTAATACGTATCCTAGACTACAAATTAAAATCTCTGATTTGAAAATGTGTAACCATAAAATGATGTTTGCATTTGTTTATGTACTCTAGTGTTAAAAATAATCCCTACGTGTGTGTCTATCTGGAGACTGAAGAACAAGTATTATGTCTGTTTCACATCCTTATCAACAATCAACCAAATAACTAAATTTTCGGAATCGACTTTGAGCTACCTCATCGCTTATAGATCTATTGAACGATCAACCAAACAGCAGAAAAAAAAAATGCAATGCACCACAAATACCGGGAGGTTTTCTGGATTTTCACAGACCTATATCACAAATCAAAGAAACATCTATCAAAAGAGTGCCTAAACTATTCTGTCAAAATATTTGCTGTACAAATAAGTATTGCAAATACGAACTAGAATTGTTCTTGTTTTACTAAAGATGCTACAGACACAAAAAACCTTCAAGGGTTCCCAAGCATGGTCCAAAATGTCAGTTTGAGCACCATAATACCTGGGTCAGATGAGTATAGGCGATATTGTAACTATTTCCAGCAAAGAAGCAAATTACGTTTTGAATGAAGTAATCAATCGAACGGCTACTGGAGCAGGAGACAATGACAGAAAGTGAGCAAGCAGGTGACACCCTTCAATTACTTCAAGTCAGAAGTACATTACCAATGCAAGATATCATAATGCTATGAACAAAATCAAAGATTTTTTAAAAACAGAAAGATAGAATATAACTCACCTAGATCAACATGATTTCACGTGAACTTCAATAATATCATCGTCTTCCATCCCAAGGCTAGCAGGGGTTTCGGACGAACTTATTTTATCACCATCAAAGGACAGCACTATCTGTTTCTGGTCACACTTGATTTTATCGGCATATGTCTTGACAATCCTTTCAAACTTGTCATCCTAGAGACAATTAAAAGATGAGCGTAAGGATAGAGGCCAAACTCTGTTTTGAAAATATGTCCAGTGACCTATAATTGAAAAACAGCTTTGAAAAAAAAACAGAAACACAACTCTTGTATCCCAAAAATTACAACTAGATTTTACCTGAAATAAAACTATTAATATCACAAAATATACCAGTAGATCGACGAATGATAGCTGAATCAGATACAAACCCTTAAACAGAAATTGAATCACATCGTTTAATGAATCGAAAGATTCATTATCAACAGTAAAACATAGGTCTAAGAGCAATTTAACAAAATGAAACAGATACTGATAAACACATATATTAGCATGAAGTTAAATAGATAACAAAATAGCATATATAAGTTCCAAAATAATTTTTAGTTCCCAAAATGGCATGATTAGAAAATATCTTAGTTTAATTTTGAAGATAAAACTTTATAATTTGTAAAAATCCTATATTAACTAAAGATAAGGTCAAGTTAATATGCATAAGTAAATGTAAACCTTACAGTAAAAGTCAATTTTGTAAGATTGAACTAGACTTGAAGTTCACTTTTTATTATGATATCAAAGTATATCCTAACTATGTTTGTTAGGCCTATCATGCCATCAATTATCAAGTCACTATCAAAATACCTATAAATATCTAGTCTCACACTCAAGACACCACTCATCTACAGCAAGATGAGGACTAGAGTTAAGACTAAGTTACAATTTTAAGTGTAAAATCCATATTACAAGTTCGTTTTGTGAAATTGATCAGGGTTAAAGTCTATTTTTAACTATGTATAATATATATTTTACTTTTGTTTTATTCTTTTTCTTTATATTTAGATCAAAAGACACTAGAGTGCAGTTTTTCGAAATATGTCAAGGATTTCAAAAGTGCAGTTTTGTCCATCAAATATAATTACAGGGAGCTAGAAGAAAAGTATATAGGGTGTAGGAAGAATTTCCCAGTGATCCAATAAAAACTTATGGCCCATAGTAAAAAATCATAACTGGATGGTGTTTGACCTGTAACAACATAGAAACTCCTAAAGGAAAAAAACATATTTCTGTTTTAACTTAGGGTTGTGGGTCATCTCCCTCCACTAGCAGCAAGAGCAGCTTAAGTGGAACAGAGACTGGATCTGCAGTGCAACACGATTTGCCTGCTCTGGTAGCCTTTTACTTGCAATCTCGCTTGCAAAAATTATTGCTCCAGCCACGATGGCTGGCTAGGTACAACGCGGATGACTCTGGACAGCAAGATGTCACAACCCACTGCAGGAGAATTGCACGAGGGTGATTCATACGATCCTTCGCTATTTGCATGATTCACATACAATTCAGATACAAAACAACCCACAGATTGTATCGCCAAGCTGAAGAATCGTATTGTGAATGAATTATAGGATAACTATTTGCATGATTCACATGCAATTCAGACACAATTAATACAACCCACAGATTGTATCGCCAAGCTGAAGAATCATCCATTGACAACAAAAAGTATATCAGCTGAAGGAATTATATACCATGAACATTCGAATCTGCTTTGTTCCATCTTTGTCTTGAACAGAAATGACGATTTTTGGTCTTTCAGAATGCTGTAGACTTTTCTCATCTACACCATCCACCGGAGACTGCAACGAATCATTAACTTCGAATTTAGAAGACTCTTCAACATCTTTTAACAATTGTTTTGCTGATTCAGCAAATGAGGCAAGTTCCAGCTTCTTTAATCTGCACCCATAAGTAACACCCTGTTAGAAACTGTAGATAAAAGCGGGTAGGGATTGGGAGTAATTATATGGAACATTAAAACCATTTTATTCACCCATGCATATCTTTTTCTGTGTAATGTTCACATGTGGAGCAACGAAAAAGGCAGTCCAGCTCCAGAAGAAACCACAGATGATTAACACACAAAAATTATAGGTATACAGAAAGAAAATGAAAAACTGTGTCAATGATTCCATTTTATCATTGCTTCATGTGGTTAGGGTTGAATGGCCAATTTTTTTCTTTTCAAAAACATAAAAAAGGCTAGCACCCATCTTATGATATCACTGTTGGAGCAACCAATTCCAGCGCAGAACAATGACAATATAATTTCACGGGGGAGTAAAAGGATTGGCAATAGCAAACACTTAAGATTTGGCATTTAAAAATTCCTAAGGAGAGTGAAATACACAACCTCAATTTTTTCAAAGTTGAATCCTCTTCAATCGTCCTCTGAGAATTACTTGCACTCTTTGGTGGAGGGGGTAACCAATCATCATCTTGATCTTCAATGTTCACCACTGTGACTCTTTCCCCAGTAGTCTTCTTCTCATCCTCAACCTAAAACCCAACAGTTTCAACAGTTACAAAACCGAAACCAATAATCAGAGCAAAAATACGTAAAAATCAGAGCCTAAAATAAGACTTACAGTATCCGTAGTCTTTCTCTTCTTACCATCAGGGCAAATCACATCCTCGTCATCATCAAAATCATCTGCGACCATCACAAGACATTCAAATTCAAGCGGAAACTCCCATAGGATAGTAATAAAAAGGATAAACAGTAATCTTGTAAAAATAAGGGTTTGGAATCGCCTAAATTTTTCAAGAAAAGAAACGCACCATCGATGGAAATGGGGTTCACAGGCTGAACCCGGCTGTAATCAAACAATGGTTCCAACTCTTCGATTTCATCCTGCAAACAAATTAAGAATATGAGATGGCGATTACAAGAGAAACCCTAATTTCAAATTGAGTGAGAGATAGAGAGTTTCACCATCTTCGTCGACCTGTGTCTCTCGGTGTCTCTGGATGTTGGCATTTTGTATTGTGTTCTATTTCACCGAACCGAATCCTCTACACAACTGCACATGGTGCACGCTCTAGATCATGTTTTGTGATGAAAAAAATGAAATTTAAAGGTAGGGATTGTTTGGAGTGTCTGTGGAATCTGTAGGGGATCTCGTCTCCTGTCTCACCCTCCCGCTTCAAACTTTAAATTCGTTTATTTCAAAACAATACTTATCTACATACTTTACAAACTTTTCCAATAAAATAAATTAAAAATCATTTGAATATTTTCCTTCAATTAATCTAAAAATAAAAGAAATACGTTTAGTTTAATTTAAATTTACAATAGTAATTCATTACAACACTATCTTGAAAATACAGACGCGTTATAATAGAATCAAAGTGTATTAAATTAGAAATATCAGTGGACTTGTATAGTGCAGAATCATATATTTAACTCTATCTGAAGAATGTTGTTCCCCTCTGTAGTATGTTTTATAGATGAAAAATATTTATGGACACAATAAAAGTATATCAACACTTAATTTAGAAAGAGCAAGAAAATTATAAGTTTATAAATTATATGAAATAATAAGAATAAAAAGATAAAAGAAAATATATAAATTTCAATATTTAATTTGAAAAAACAAATTATGTTAAGTTGGAGAAAAATAAAATAAGTTAATAATAATTTATGAGTTGATTACCGGAATCCAATTTTTTGTTCTTATTACTTAGAATATCATGAAACTCATAAATATGTAATTTTTCAAAAGAATTATTATATATATATATATATATATATATATATTACAAGTAAACCTTTATAGAAGTTTAATTTAGATGTCAATATTGACAACTATAATAATGTACACTAAAGTTAGTAGCTTTTTTTTTTTTTACAGAGTAATCGTCCATGTTCATAAATAATTAACTCCGGGCATGTTTATGCTGGTTAGAAATTAACTTAACTTTTACTTGTATTTATTTTAATCTTCATTTTATTAATTCATGTTATAAGATTAATTATTTTTCATTTTTTGAGAATATATATTCTGATGGTCATTATTGTGCAAATTTAATTATCTTAATCTAAAAAAAACAAAAACAAAAATTTAAAAAGAAAAACACTACACTAGATTAATCCCTTCTAAACTATATAATTTCCTCGTGTTTTAAGTGCATTGATTTTTGAATGTAAGGAATACAATTACTAAAAGAGTAATGAAGATTAAGTCAATAACAAGATTGAAAATACATTATTTTATTAGTCTTTTTTTGTTAAAATATTAACTTAAGTTTAACCTAATTCAATAAAATCAGTTTTTAAAATAAGATTTGTATTTATCTAATATATATATATATATATATATATATATATATATATATATATATATATATATATAATATTAGATACTAATAGGTTATATGACAATAACTTGATTGGGTGATATAATAAATTCAATAAATAATAAATATTTTTAGAATATATTCGAATTTAGGATTCTAATAATAAACTTTAAAAATAATTTAGTTTTACATACAGGGTAATTTTTGTTTCACTTAATAAATAATAAATTTTATTAGTATAAACTTTAATTATAACTTTGTTATACGTTAAAAAAATAACTTTTAAATTTAACTCAATTTTATAAAAAAAAAATTTAAAATAAAATTTACACTTATTTATATATTTAATTGATGTGAAATATTAAATAACTTTCTATTTAAGAATTTGAATTTTAATAGGAGATAATAAGAAGTTGTTGAGATAACTTCTAAATCTTCCTAACCGAATGAAAATTATTATTATTACATTTATATGTTACAGTTTTATAGTTCATATAATTTTCAAATAATATATAATAAAATATTAGTTATTATTTAAATTTACATGATATTGTTTTTAATTTAATCTGCAAAAAAGAAATCAGAAGTAACCTATAAATACAAAAATTAACTTAATAATTAATTATTCATAAAATTTAAATATGTAGTAAAAGATAAAATAAAAATAAATAAAGTGTTAAAATATAAAAAAATAATTAAAATTCATTTCAATAAATTTTAAATTAAAAGAATATAACTAAAATAACTTATGGCTTATAAAATACAAACTTTTAGAATTAACTATTTTAATATATCCATTAAACATTTATGTGTTTGTGGAAACAACCTATAAATAGTTAATTGCCTATTGCCTACCAACTATACTCCTAATGCAGTCATTATAATCACCTAAAGTATTTACATGAATTATATAAATATGCTAAATGTATGAGATGATGTAAGAAAAAAAAATACTTATAATGAGAAAACTACTATATAGGCTTATTTTATTTCTACTTTTTCTTATTTTCACATCATTTTATTTAAGGAGAATAAAAATATTATATAATGTATAGCATACAAATTCTTTTAAATTTCAATAAATGTTTTTTTAGAATTATTAAAATAAAGAAGAAAACAAATAAATAATAAGTTTCTTGAAAATAAATAACAAAAATAGCATCAGCTATGTTTAGAAAACAAAATTTACAGAGAGAGAACAGTAATATGTATGTACAGTCATTTAATAGTAATGTTTGATCTTCAACAATTTTTTTTAGGTTTAAAATTATATTACATATATTTCTTATAAACAATGTGTTAAGATATAATCTTTACATGTGAACAACTAAATTTAATAAAATTAATTTTAAGTAATGTTTATATTTAATTATATAAGATTTATAATTTTAAGTCTAAGTTAACCTAACAAAATAATAAAAAATTGAATTCATATCATTTTAGTAGGTTATCAAGATAAATCAATATGTTCTTTCTCTTTAATTTTTCTTTAAACACATAAATATAATTATTAAAAAAACACATTGGGATAGATTTGAAACAAAAGAATGAAATATGAATATCATGCAAGGGATAAATACAACTTTGAATCCAAAATAACACAAAATTAAGGTCATACCCTACCTTATTTAAGTTTGCTACCAAAATAAATCATTAACTATATAAAAAAATGAATTTCTTTTAAAAAATTTATTAAGAAGACTTAACACCAATAAAACATAAACTTAACTCAAATAAAAATTCACACCATTTAAATTAAAAACCTTAAAACAATAATTATACGAGTCTTTTACTGTACACGTTCCTCAACTTTTTTATTTTTGTTTAACTTGATACTTAGACTTACATTTCAATTTTTAACACAGTTTTATATTGAAATTATATTTTGAATTCATTTTTCTAAAAACAATTATGGGAAATTAATAATATTTTTCAAATTAACAACATTTTTATACTCTGCACATTTCATTAACTTAATGAACTTTTCATAATATAGAAACTACTTTTTTCAATCGACTTCTAATATATATTGTTAGACTCGTCTAATTATATAAACATAGTTGTGTAGTGCTAGACTTGTCTAATTAGTGTATAAAAAATTTATTTAATTATATTACAAGAATTGTCTCGTCTAATCAGTACATGAACACAATTGTGTAGTACTAGACTTGTCTAATCAGTGTATGAACAAACTTATTTAATGTAATATAAGACTTGTCTCGTCTAATCAGTACATTATCACAATTGTGTGGTACTAGACTTGTATAATCAGTGTATGAACAAACTTATTTAATGTATACTACAAGACTTGTCTAATTAGAAAATGGACAGAGTCATCTAATATGTATTAATAAATTTATAATATGTGTATTAATAAATTTATAATATGTGTATGAATAAACTTATCTAATATATATTGTTAAATTCATCTAATTAGAGTATGAATAAACTCATGTAATATTGTTTTTGAAAGGTTCGTCTAATTGGTGTATAGATAGACTTGTCTAATGAATGGATGAAATGATTCATCTAATTTTTTGTTGTTGTACCTATTAATTAGTGTATGGATAGACTTATTTAATGCATATTACTTGTTTAATATTTTTTGTTATATTTGTTTAATTAATTTATGAACCAACTTATGTAATATATATATATATATATATATATATATATATATATATATATATATATATATATATATATATATATATATATATATATATATATATATATATATATATATATATGACAATATTCATGGACAATTTCGTCTAATATGTATTAATAAATTTATTTAATATGTGTTTCAACAAACTTCTTAACCATGAAACTAAACTTCTTAATAAAGTTTAGATGAAGTATTAATTAATACTTTTTCATAGACATTAAATTTCTCACAACGCAAATAGGGAAAAGTATTGTTATTAAATAGAACTATTAATTATTTCACCAAAAAAAAAAAAGTACTACCAAAACTATAAAAGAAGAACATTAACCACGTTTCTTTATGGAAATGTGAAAATGATTCTTAAAATTGATGCACTCTTAAATGTATTCGGTGCCACATTACGTGTAGTAAGAAGTTTACTAATTTATGTAGAAAATGTGAACTACGCTTTTTATTTATTTATTTTTATGTAACGTCTATGAATAAATACCATTTGCTAGTAATTAAGGTCATACATTGTGATATAATTATTAATACAAAAGTGTTAGCTTAACCTGTATTAAATTTCGTATGCACAATTAAGTTTAGTAAAAAAAATAGGATTAATTAAATTTAAACTTTTATAAATTAAGTATTTCTAATTGAATTTTATTAAAAAAATTAATCTAGCCAGTATCTAATTATTATTATTATTTTTAATTAATTTTTTTATCACTTTGTTTTTCTGTTAATTTTCACATCATCATTATTTACGTGTCTTTATATAAAAAAATAAAATGCAGTTTAATTAAATTTTAAGTATTTCATTAAATTTGAGTATTATTAATTGAATTTTTATCAAAATTTTGGCCAGTGTTTAATTTTTTTATATTTTTGAACTAATTTATTGGATGACTTGATTATTTAATTTTACACTCTCAAGTATAACACTACGAACTTGTTAATAAAAAAGTTAATGTCTTGAAATGCTAATTATCTCTGCTAAATGACATTGTCTGGTATTTCGAAATTTCAATTGATGTAGAGACTCAATCGAAAAAATATAAATTTTAAACATTCAATATATAAATTTTTTAATAAAAATTTAATTGAAAATACTCATTTTTTAAACAATTAAGCTAGTTTTTAATTTTTGTTATAAAAACATATAAGTAATGACAATGTAAAGATAA